CTTTTTTTGATTATCCACTAGAATATATATAAAGTGAAAGTAGCATTTTGTACATATTAGGCACTAATTAATAGTCAAAAGTAATATCTAAACTAACTTTATTATTTTCAATGTACAAAATTTTGCTTCTTGTGACTGCAAGTGAACGCCATTTATTTTGATTCATGTACACAACTGACCACTATTAATCGCAGAATTATTGTGTAACAATCATTCCCTTGATATTACATCCTATTTTCCATTGCAAATAATTACCATGCTCATTATGTTTAACGAATATAAACGACTTTAATTCGCAAAACAATACGGCCATGTTCGTTATAATAAAAGTACAGTACTATAAGGGACCACTCTTGAATGGATATTTGCAATGTAAAATGCTTTCAAATGAAACAACACGTGGATGTGACTAATACAATAATAATAATTCATTATAAAGGATTTTACAGTTTCTTTAACTTGTAACACGCATCTTCCATTTAATCTGTAACAACCCATCATTTTTGCTAATTTTAAGTCTTTGATTAAAGCACATCATTTTATTAAAAAACTGTGCAAGCCACGCGAAATGTTACGTCTTTCTAAAAAAAATATCTAAAAAAACAAATCAGACAGGCTGTTCATCGACAAACTGTTGTAAAAGACTATTTTGTAATGGAATTATTAAATGTTCACCTCCGCTAATAGATCTTTTAAATTTAACCATTTTATGGTCCACAAATTCAGTTAGTTGGGCCCTTAAGGCTAGATCAGAACTTACAAGAAACGCCTCCCTACAGGCCCAGTACAGATCCTTGAACAATAAGCCTAAAATAATAACAAAAGAAAAATTGATTAAGAAATTAAAAGTAGTTTAGAAAATTTAAATAAGTAAAAAGTAAAAACATGAGAAAAAATCTACGTTATTCAACCAATTTGATCTGACTAAATATTTCTATTCATTTCAACTGTGTGTAACACACTTTTATTTATTTTAAGGATATTTTATATCAAAAATATAAAACAGGTGCAAAGCCACCACATTGTTTGCTGTAATTGCTACAGTTTATTTCTTACCTTCATAATGCTGACTCTTTTTATTTTCTAATTGATATTTAACAATGATTAAATAAATACTCTTGGCGTTTTTGGTTAAAGACATGAAAACATTGTTTAATGAAGATAAAGCCAAAGTTCCAGATCTTTGCACTAGCATTGAATCTTCAAAACAAGTCTCAATCAAATAATATTCAAAAGTGGTCACGTCCCACCATACATTTCAATTTCAACAACTTGCACACTTCACTGAGAAAGCGCCAAACCATTTATTGGTTTCTGTTGCATTGTAATATTGTAAGTGTATAAAATGATGAATAAACATCATATTAATATTACACGTAGTATAAGAAGAACTGATGGTACATAATTTATATTTATATTAAGTATATAAAAGGTTACCTTAAAATAGGATTGTCCAATTTCATAGAAAATGGAATGTGTTAATGCACAACCTATTTCTATTATGCAAAGATGTGCAAAATGGTTTTTTAAAAGTATTTAAATACAAAATGCAAATACTTTTTTGATATAAATACTTTTTCGTAG